CCTGAGCAGCATCATCAGCAGCATCATCAGCATCAGCAACATCTCCATCATCATCATCACCACTTTCTACCACATCATCATCATCATCATCACCACCATCTTCATCATCATCATCATCAGCCGCATCATTGGCGTTAATATCAGCATCAGCATCATCAGCAGCACCATCATCATCATCATCATCATCATCATCATCATCATCATCATCGTCGGTTCGCCTTTCCTCCTCTCCTCCGTGTCTTCCTTTTCCTCCTTCTCCTCTCCTTCTTGCCTCCGCTCCATCTCCTCCTCCTCCTCCGCCTCTTTCTCCTCCTATTCATCTTCCTCCTTAACCTCCTCTCCCCTGTCTTCCTCCTCCTCGGTCTCATCTGTCTTCCTCTTCTTTTCCTTCTCCTCCTGCTCCTTCTCCTCCTGCTGCTCCTCCTCCTCCTCCTCCTCCTCCTCCTCCTCCTCCTCCTCCTCCTCCCCTGGGTGTCAGGAAGCACCCCCCCCTCCCGCGAGGGAGAGAGGACGGCGGGCGCCGGCGCGCAGGCGAGGCAGTCTTTGTCGCCGGGGAGGACGTCGAGTGCCTGCAGGACCGCCGGGCACCTGCTCAGAGCCCGGCGGAAGAGAGGAGCGAAGCCCAACCTGCAGAGGCCGAGCGTATTGAACAAAGCACGACGGAGGTTGTTGGTGGTTTTCGGCCTCCAGGGGCCCTCGCCGGGCCCCAGGGCCGTCAACAAACGACTCAGGGTGAAAAACTGGTCCTGGGGAAGGGGTCGAGACTTCCGGGGACCCCGTATTGGAAACAAAACACGACGTCGGATCTCTAAGAAGGGGCAGCGTTGCTCTTGCTTGCTTCTGCGTCGCTTGGTTTGTTCCGTGGGCCCCTTGTTTACGAACCGTGCCTGGAGTAGGTTGTCACTGCCGAGCGATTGTCACATCAACCCCTTTCCAAATGCCTCCTTGCACCGACGGTATGTAGTGGATCAACACATGCGCCGTCTCCAACATATCTATAACCAAAGTATAGACGCTTCGTGTACTCTCTCCAGCCCATCCAAAAACGATGCCCACGCGAGTTGCCCTGATCAGGGATGTGGAGGCGCATGCAGTGAAATGAAGGGCTGGGGAAGTCGTCATACTTTTAAGAGGGGATGGATGGCGTACGGAAGAGCGAGAAGGAGGAGGAGTTAGGAGGAATATATGTAGGAGGGGGAGGAGAAGGAGGAGGAGGAGGAGGAAGAGGAGGAGGAAGAGCCGTAGCCGGATGACTCCCTGACATCGGGCACGTCGCGGACGGGCTTCACCATTGGGCTACTTGGCGTAAGGGTTCGCGGACGGGCTTCGCCCCGAATCATCAGGGGTAACTCGGGTCAGGGTTAACTCGGGTTCGCTTTTCTGGATTCCGAACCCGAGTTACCCCTGGCCCGAGTTACCCCGGATAATTCGGGCGTCCAGAGCCCCAAATCATCAGGGGTAACTCGGGTCACTCGGGTTCCTTTTTCGGGAATCCAAGCCCGCGTTACCCCGGACCCGAGTTACCCCGGATGACTGGGGCGCCCAACCTTCTGGAGACCGACGAGCTCGCGCTGGACGCGACTGGGCGCCCTGCGCGCGGTGCCCACGGGCAGCGCCATCACCGAAACAGAGGCCGACAAGTGGGGCCGGCCCTCGCTCTGCCCATATTGCGGCCCCACGGAGGAGACGCGCGACCACCGCTTCTGGAGCTGTCCCATTGGGCGCGGCCCGCCGCGCCCACCTGCGGGCTGGCGGCTTGAGCGAGGCCGACTTGCTGGCGCGCCTGCCCGCTGGGGTCGCGCTCCCCGGGGCGCTGCCCTCGGCGGATGCACGCCCCGCCGCGGTTGCCGCGCAAGCCCGGCAGCAGCTGCCGCCGCCTCCGCTGCCGCCCCGGGCAGGCCCGGGCACGGGCGTGGAACGACGGCGCTTGCTGGCCCAGGCGGGGCGGGGTCTGCGGTCGCAGGGGAGCCGCGGCGCTGCAGCGGGCCCGGGGGGGCGGGGCCCAGACCGTGCGGCGCGTCGAGCTCACCGCGGCCGTGCGCGCTGCCAGCGAGGCCAGGGAACGGCGGAGCTGATCTCCGACTCCAGGCGCGCGACTATGCCACGGGATCGCCGCGCTGCGGGCCGACGCGCTTCCCCGCGAGAGGATGCGCGCGGACGTGTGGGACCCCCTGGCGCCACATTGCCAGAGTGGCTACTTCTCAGCGCGTTCGACGAAGGGCCACCTCGAGGCGGATGCGCTGGCAACGCGCTGGCAACGCGGACGCCGACGAGCTTGCGGGGGCCGCGGCGCGCGCCCAGCTCCCCGCGCAGGCGTTCTACGCGCAGCGAGAGGTGCAGCTGCGCGCCCCCTGGGTGTTCCAGCGGCTGCTTGCGGCCGTGGATTTGGCCGGCGGGACCCCGGGCGCGCTGGCGCTGGACAGGCAGGCCTCCGCGTCGAGCACTCGCCGCCCAGCCTGGCCAGCTGGGGGCCAAACGGCCGCGGCCGGCGCGTCAGCTGGGCCGCCGCCCCCACCCCCGCAGCGCCCCTGTTGGCCGCGGGCCGCTGGGAATGGCCTGCCGCAGCGAGGCGTCGCCGAGGCAGTCTGGGCCTTGTTTCGAAGTGCGACTGGGCGTCGCGCGTAGTCTCGCAGGGCCTTGGCTGGGTCGCCTGCCTCTGGCGCGGGGCGGCGGCCCTGCGGCGGCAGGCTCTAGCCGCCCAGCCCTTCCCGGGTCACTTCGCTGCCACCCCGCGCCAGCGCGCTCCTGCTCGTCACTGCGGAAAGGGCCGGGCGGCTAGGCTGAGATGTTGTTGTTTGACTTCCTTTCCCTCCTTCTCCCTCCCCCCCAATCCTCCTGTTTTTCCGTATCGCAGGGCTCGTTCGCGCTTGTGCTTGAAAGTGCGTGCGCCCCCTTCCCCGTTGCCCTCGCTGGCGTCCTGGTCCTCGTGCCGAAGTTCGGCGCCGCGCTTAAAGTATCTGCGCCGCGGCCCGCGGCTTGGCGTCCACAGCGCGTAGGCGTCGCGGAGGGGGTCGGCGTCTGGTCTCGGCGGCGAGCCCGGGGGGGGAACGCGCAGAAGGGGTACGGCTTGTCCGAAAACATTCTGAGACAGCCTCAGACGGCGCCAGGGCTTCTGAGGAGGCCCCGCCCCCTCTCAATGGCCCCCTGGATTCGCCGCCGATGGTCATCCTACTCTTAAGTCGGGGCTGTCCCTCTACAGGGGGAATATTCAAACATTGTAAAACATAATACGGGGACGATGTTTAAACTATGTTTGACCATGCGGGGGGTATGTTTGTTTTTTGTCCAAAATCCCCCTACAGGCATCACGGCGCCCAGGCCCTCCTTCGTCGCGCACACATCACGACGGGTGGTTCGGGGTCGCGCTCGGCCTCCAGGGGCCCGCGCAAACAACAGCCTGAGATGACAATTCGTTCCCCAGGAATTGATCCAGCACTCCTGGGCGCTACTCTGTTCATAAAAACTCGATTTCGCACGTCTGGGTAGGACGCTGGGTTCACATGGGTGACGCAAAACAAGAAACGGGGCCGTCTTCGCCGACATTGGCGCGCAAGCTGCCCGCGTAAGCTCGCGCGCGAACGCCGTCGTCTCCAATGCGGCGTGCCGCGCTGACGGCCCGCGTAAACTGCGGCGCAAGGTCGCTGTGCCATTTCGCGCAATACAAGCAACCCTCATAGCAAGGATGGGCAATCGTCCCACAGGCACCCTTGCATCCTTGCCACTTTCATTGGCCGCGCCCCGCTTGGAAAGCTTCGAGACGGCCCACCAAGGTCCTTGTGTCATGATCGTGCTCCCTTACGATACGGGTTGACTGTGCCCGCTGTTGATCGTCGCTCACATGCGCGACAAGCAGAGGCCACCCGCTGGATGCACATTCCGAGGGCGTTTGCTACACCGGGCCATGCGAAGGCCAAGCGCCGGAACTGTGCGCGGCCAGTTGAGCAACGCCAGACATCGGGGTCGTCTGCTCCGACATCCGCACGTAAGCTCCCCGCGTAGGCTCGCGCGTGAGCGCCCTCGTCGTCTCCAGCGTAGCGTGGCGCGACTGCGGCCCGCGTAAGCCGCCGCGTCAAGGTTGCTACGCCATCTCGCGTCAGACCCGCTTTTTGAGCGTCGCTCATGTGCGTTCCCAGCTCTCGCCACATGGGCGCGCCCTCAAGGGCGCGAAGTTATTCGTGCTTCAGGCTTCGCGGTTCAGCTCCGGTTCCTCCTCATCCTCCTTTTCTCCCTTGGGGGGAGGTGGCGCGAGAGCGCAAAGTTATTCGCACTTCGCGCAGCGCGAAGTGCGAAGTTGGGTGCCCTTGCTCTTGTGCGTTTCCAGCTCTCGCCCAGGCTGGCCGCAACCTGTGTGTCAAGCGTTGTGGGTCCGTGCCGCGCTGATGCGGCGGCGACGCCAACGCGGTCGTTCAAGGTCCCATTCCACAAGCTGCCTTGGTCCCAGCCAGTATGGAACGACCTAAGATTTGGGAGCGATGCGATCGCTCAAGACCTTAACGACACACCAGGTGTCAGGGACCACCGCGCACGTCTTCGCAGAGTGTCACCGCGCGCGTCTTCGCAGAGTGTCCTTGTCCTCCTCTTCGCCGCCGCGTTGGCACTGTTTCCAAGCTCCGCTGGACGACTGGCGTTGAACACTGCAGGCCCCTCCAAGCGGGGGAGGCACAGGTGCGTCCTGGAGCCAATCCGTTTCGCACCACCCTCTGTGATATCCCCCCTTGCTTGCTCATCCTTCCTCGTTTCCCCTGCTCCTCTTCCAGATGCTTCTGCTACTCCTCTTCCTCCTCCTCCTTCTCCGCTTCCTCCTTTTGATGACTCTACGAGGTCATTGTTCCGGGCTGTTTCCTCCGCCCATCTTGCTCCTCTCTTTCTCCGCGTCAAGATCGGCATTCGGTACCGAGGGGGTCTGGACTCCCTCGACTCTTTTTCCCTCCCCGCCCCCCGGACCTCGGCCCTCCTCCCTGCCCCTCCCCCCTCCTCCCTCCGCTCCGCGGGACCTGCAGGACGGCGAGTGGAGGCAGGCGAAGGTGCTCGACGCCAACCCGCAAGGCGCGGGGGCGGGGAGGGGCCCCCTTCAGAGGCCCAGGGGTGGGGCGAGTGGCATACAGTCAACCCGAATGGTAAGGATGGGCAGCCTTCCCAAGGGTACCCTTGCATCCTTGCCTCCTCGGTCCATCCCTGGCCACTTTCGTTGGCCGCGCCCCGCTCGAGTAGCTTGGAAATGGGCGTCCAAGGTCCCTTGCATCCTTGTCGTGCATCCTTACTATACGGGTCGATTGCCGGAGGAACGGTGCCCATACCGTTTCCATGTAAGTCGGGCCTGTCCCTCCACAGGGAGTACCATTCAAACAAGGTAAAAACACATAGTCTGGGGGCGATGTGTTTTGATTATTTTCGACCATATTTGAAAATGTTTTGATTATCTTTGACTTGTTCGCCCAACGTCCGCCTGCAGGAGGACATGCCCGACCTGAGGCTACCCTTCGCCCGTACTCCACTTTTGGGGGCCTCCTGGGAGGCCCCCGTCGCAACCGCCGACATTCGCCTCGAGACACTGGCCAGAACGCACTCGGATTGTTCTCCAAGGACGTCTCGGGCGACTGGGGCATCCGAGGTTCCAAAACCGTGCGTTGACGGACCGTGCGATTCGGTCCTGGGGGATCCCGAGGTGACCGCACGGTCTGTCACCGCACCGTTTCGGGACTCCAAAACCTCTTGGTGTCCCCAGTCGGAAGATGGCGGAGGAGGAAGACCTGCTGGGGCGCAGGCAGGGGATGGGGCGCCGTCCAGAGGCGGGCCCCTCAGCGACAGGGCTCGATGAGCGGGTGGCCTCAAACAGTGAAGGTTCAGCCTCGGATCCCCTTCAGTGCTTGGGGCCGCGTCTCTCATCAGCCACGTGCTTAGGTCCTTGGGCGATCCGGGCCCTCTCCTTGCGCCTTCCTGCCGAAGAGTCCAGAGGCCCACGACGACCGTCGGTGAGGGTGGGGCGAGGAGGATGGACATTAAGAGGGCTTGCCACCACGGCTGGGTCCGCCCTAGCACTCCGGTCTGGACGCAGCCTGAAATTCGAAGGATGAACAATTGCATGAACATAAGTTCTGTCAACTCCGCGCGGGGCTCCCCTGGCTGCGCCTCCGGCGCCGCCCTGGGCGCGTTCCGCGCGCCTGGGAGGGGCTTCCAACCCATGTCCGAGGTATCCTCGCGGAACTCCGAAAATCCGTAAGGGCTTCGCCCCCTGCCGCCGGCCCCCTCTCTCGGAGAATGGGCCATGGAAGAGCTAAGTCATGAGGCCTTGGCGCTGTCGTGAAGCAGTATCGAAACTTCATGCGAAGCCGATTCGCAATCAGCAAAACCAACTGATCACAAGAGGGGTTACCACACCTGGCGATTGGTAAGACGTGTATGGTTTACGGGCTTGGTTACCACACCTTGCGATTAAAGGGCCGAGGGAGTTCTCGCAGTTTGGGTTACCACGCCTTGCGATGGATGTGCGTGAAGGGTGGCACCGAATTTCAGAAATGTTGCACATCTCCTGTGTTTTTGGACCCTGACCCCGCGGATCTGCGTAAGGGGTGACGCCGAATTTCAGAAATGTGGCAAATCCCATGTGTTTTTGGACCCTGACCCCGCGGATCTGCGTGAGGGGTAGCACAGAATTTCAGAAATGTGGCAAATCCCCTGTGTTTTTGGACCCTGACCCCGCGGATCTGCGTGAGCGGTGGCACCGAATTTAAGAAATGTGGCAAATCCCCTGTGTGTTTGGACCCTGACCCCGCGGATCTGCGTGAGGGGTGGCACCGAATTTCAGAAATGTGGCAAATCTCTTGTGTTTTTGGACCCTGACCCCGCGGATCTGCGTAAGGGGTGGCACCGAATTTCAGAAATGTAGCAAATCCCCTGTGTTTTTGGGCCCTGACCCCGCGGATCTGCGTGAGGGGTAGCACAGAATTTCAGAAATGTGGCAAATCCCCTGTGTTTTTTGACCCTGACCCCGCGGATCTGCGTGAGCGGTGGCACCGAATTTAAGAAATGTGGCAAATCCCCCGTGTTTTGGACCCTGACTGACCCTGACCCCGCGGATCTGCGTGAGGGGTGGCACCGAATTTCAGAAATGTGGCAAATCCCCTGTGTTTTTGGACCTTGACCCCGCGGATCTGCGTGAGGGGTGTTGATTTCGAGCCCCCCCAGCAATTCAGACAACGCGCCCAGGAGACGCTAAAAGTCTTGTTTGGGCCTCCCCCCCTCCTCGCGCGGTCAATCAACTAGTTACAGTAACTTGCAAGAAGCAGAACTGTAACACTGGAAACTACAAGCTACAACTGGTACAGGAAACTGCGAATCACGGTCCTACAGCCTGGTGGCCCCACAAGGGGGCCGGCGGATTTCTGTTTGTGCAGTTGCCTTCTTCTAGTATCGAGAGTCCCCAAAAGTTGCGATGACCGCGCCGAGCGGTGAGTCAGCGGGGATTCGGGGCGCCCGCACGGTGTTGGGACTTGGGCCGCTGTCCGAGATGCTGGTTCGATTGGGGCGTGGGGGTGGGGTCGGAGCAGAGCAGGCGGGCTCACGCAGGGGATGTCGGGGTGGTTATGTTCCCTGTCTGCTCTCCCATGGGGGTCGTGGGCGGTTTATCCGGGGCGGTCCTGCGCTAGAAGGGCCAATATCCCGCAGCGCGCATCACGATTTTCGCTGTGACACTCCTGCTTCATGGTTGTTCTTTGCCCCTGGGGAGGGAACGGGGGAGGAGGAGGAAGAGGAGGCGGACGAAGGTGAGATAAGAACATGTGATGGAGCAGGACCACCCAGAGGGCCTAACAGTTACGCACTCGAGGAAAACAAGGGCAATACGACAACGATAGACGCGCGACCATGGTGGAGGAACATTACCTCCCAGTAACGATCAACTTCCGTTCGGGGCAGGACGCTTGAGTTCCCTGGCAGGCGCCGGAGCAGGACTCATGCCCCCGCTCCCGCTCACGGGGCTGACACTCCTGCTCAAAACGGCCTGCCCCTGCTACTGTCATTGCTGCTCCAGACCCAGCAGGGGCAGGAGGAGGAAGCACAAGCAGGAGAAAGAGGCGGCACGACCAGACAGTCAGGGCTTGCCACGCGGATGCTTTGGCGCTCGAGCCGTGCGTCCTCTTTGTGCGCAGGTGTCTGGCGGTCTGATCATGTGCAGTCGTCTGGCCTCAAAACGCTTCTGAGCGCACTCGAAGCAGCTCGTTAGCATGTCCAGGCAGGAACATGCAGGAGGAAAAGGAGGGGGAAAAGAAGGATGCCTGGGGAGGGGAAGGGGGGTCAACAAGGAGGAGGAGGAGGAGGAGGAGGAGGAGGAGGAGGAGGAGGAGGAGGAGAAGGGGAGGAGGAGGAGGAGGAGGAGGAGGAGGAGGAGGAGGAGGAGGAGAGGAGGATGAGGGGGACTAGGGTGGAGGGTAGTTGGAGGAGGAGGGGGGGGGGAGTCAGAGGAGGAAGAGGAGGAGAGGGGGGAGAAGGGGAGGGAGGAGGAGGGAGGGAGGGGAGGGAGGGAGGAGGAGGGAGGGAGGGAGGGGAGGGAGGGAGGGAGGGAGGGGGAGGGAGGGAGGGAGGAGGAGGAGGATGAGGAGGAGGAGGAGGACGACGACGACCAGGAAGAGGGAGGATGGAGGGACGCGGGAGGAGTGGGAGGAGGAGGGATGGTGAAGTGAGGGGGGGGGGGAAGAAGAGGAGGAGGAGGAGGAGGAGGAGGAGTAGGAGGAAGAGGAGGAGGAGGAGGAGGAGCAACATATGAGTACTACTACCACTAAGCATAATAAAACGAGGACGACAACACACATAACCATCATAATAACCAGAAGAGTGCTAAGAAGAAGGAGAGGAGTACTAGTAATCATCGTAGCACCAAACAATAGCAAGGAACATGGTTGGTGGGACGGGCCGAGGTCGGGGCACGCATGGCCGCGGCCCCGCCAGAGGCACCTACGACACCGACCACGAGCTGGACGTGCCCGCGGACCGCCTCCGCAAGACGGCCGCCTTCGGCGGCGGCGGCGAGCCCCCGCGGGACGAGTGTGCTGGCCCCGCCGCTGGGGAGGGCGGTGGGAGGGGGGGGGAGGGAGCAAGGGCGCCCTCGAGGGCGCGAAGTTCTCCGCGCTTCGCGGTCGGCTCCGGCTCCTCCTCGGCCTCCTCTTCTCCCCTGGGAGGCGGCGCGAGAGCGCGGAGCAGTTCGCGCTTCGCGCAGCGCGAAGCGCGAAGTTGGGGGGCCCTTGATGAGGGGGCAGGTCGGGGCTCAAGAGACGGGGGTCAGTGTAAACGGCGATCAGCCGCACAGTCAACCCGCAGAGTTGGGAGGGGCAGCCTTCCCAAGGGTACCCTTGCATCCTGCCCTCCTCGGCCCATCCCTGGCCACTTGTGCTGACCGCGCCCCACTCGAAAGCTTCGAAGTGGGCATCCAAGGTTCTTGCATCCTGATCGTGCGTCTTTATGATACGGGTCGACTATAGCGCCAGGTCTGGCAGGATCCTGCAGAGCCAGGGGCGCACTGACCAGGCTTGGGCGCAGGATCCTGCAGGATCTTGCAGGATCTTGCAAAGCCCGATAGGCCCGGGTTTGAATTCACCCGGGTCAGTGCGGTGCGGTGACCACACCGCGTGGTGAGCCAGAGGGGATTTGGGATGGCCGCACGTCTTTGGGACTTGGGTCGTGTTCCGAGGACGTGTCGGGCGACTGCGGTCTCCAGGGTCTCAAGTCGTTGAGGTGACGGACTGAGCGGTGGGATCTCTTGGGATTTCGAGATCACCGCACGGTTCGTCTGTCACCACACGTTTTCGAGACCCCGAAGAGGAGGACGAGGGAGCAAGGGGTGAGGGAGGAGCAGGAGAAGGAGGAGGAGGAGGAACAGGAGGGGGAGGAGGAGGAGGAGGAGGAGGAGGAGCTGGAGGAGGTGGGAGGAGGTGGAGGGTGAGGAGGACGACGAGGAGGAGGAGGAGGAGGAGGAGGAGAGGAGGTGGCGGGTGAGGATGAGGAGGAGGAGGAGGAGTAGGAGGAGGAGGAGGAGGAGGAGGAGGAGGAGGAAGAGGAGGGTGATGAGGATGATGATGACGAGGAGAGGAGGAGGAGGAGGAGGAGGTGGAGGAGGAGGAGGAGGAGGAGGAGAAGGAGGAGACGGTGGCGGCGGCTGCGGAAGAGGAGGGGGGGAGGGGGAGGGGCAGGGTGAGGAGGTGGGGGAGTGGGAGGGAGGAACGGAGGAACGGAAGAACGGAGGAAGGGGGAGGAAAAGGAGGGATGAGGAGAAAGGGGAGGAGGGTGAGAGGAAGGTACAAACAGCTCGGTGCGCTCGCTCCATGATAATCTGACATCCTACCCTTACTGGAGGAGGAGGAGGTGGCAGACTATCAGGAGGATCTTTGGTGCTGTGCTCCATGGGTGGGCGATGCCTTGCCCCAGAGCGCTGCATGCCCAGGCGCGCCGGCGAAATGGCCAGGCCCCGCCGCTCCTGGAGCGCGCCATCGAGGGAAGCAGGCGCGCATCGATGCCCAGGCCCTCTGGCACGCGGGAGAGCGGTGAACCAAGGTTCCCACCGCTCCGCCCAGGTTCCTCCTCCTCCTCCTCCTCCTCCTCCTCCTCCTGCGCTGTCATCCTCATCCAAGAGACGCATGGCACGACTGAGGTGCTTCGTACTCTTCTCAATGCCACTCCCTTCGACTATCAGCTCTTTCACTCCAGCACTGGCCGCTCTGGCGCGGGTGGTGTTGCCATACTGGTTCCTCTACCTTCTCGGATGATTGCGCAATCGGTACCCCTCGAAGATCAACCAATTATCACTCCTGAAGTTCTTGCTGATGGGCGCGTTCAACTTGTCAGCATCCTCAATCCCAAGACAAAGTTTGCAATGAAGATCATGAATGTCCACAATTATGAGCTGGAACCTCACACGCTCCCTCACATTCGAGAAGTATGGCAGCAGTCACTTGCATGGTGTAAGGAGGAGCCGCTGCGGAGGACCTTCGTCGCGCTGGGCGACTTCAGCATTGCTGCCGGCGCCCCTGTGAGCTACCAGAATCCTGAGCCCTGCAGTGCCCGTCTTGCTGTCGATACGCATATGGCTCCTCTGGAAGGTTTCTGGAGACCGCTCATGCATGCAGCCACTGAGGTATGCACAGAGCTTCCGACTAGATTTAACCGCCAGCATTTCACAGCGAACACTCTGGATCGTGTCTTCTTGGGGATTCCCTCGGAATACATGCTTGAGATCGACGCGGTGATGGAAGTTCATGCTGACCCAAGCCAAATGTCCGACGCTCGTTTGAGCGATCACGCGTTGGTTTCGCTTTCATTTCAGAATCGTGGCACGGGTCAGCATAATGAGCTGCGTATCCCTGGCTTTATTTTCCAAGATCCGCGCTATCGCGCGAAACTTGCCGCCCTGGTCTCTGCTGTAAACATATCGCATGTGCCAGCGGATGTGCGCTGGCGATATATGAAGCAATACATGTGGGAAGCCGCCCGTGAGACCCGTAATGAGCTCCAAGGCCTCCCACTGGTCTCTCAGGACCCCAATGCTTTGGAGGCCCGTCTGGTCACTATGAGAGCCATCGCGAGGGCCATTTGGAGGCAGGATCTTCGGGTCGGGGCTACCCTGCAGGCCACCACGCTTCTTGGAGCTCGTTTCCTCTCCCTCTCGGCCACCACTCTCACTCTTCTTGAGCCTGATAACTTTAGTGCCCTTTTTCGCGACACCAGCGCTGCCGCGCTTGCACGCCGCCAATCCCGAGCTGCTGCCTTAGCTCAGCAAGCTGCCGCGTCAGGTGATCGTCTCTCGGCTGACGCTGCGCGTCGACTCCAGCGTTCGCTACAGCGTAAGGCCCGACTCTGGCGCCCGAAAGGCAGCTCGCTTGTCCTGCAGGGCGTGCGTCCAGAGACGCTTGCTCCAGCCTCGCCGCCCACCGACGCTTCACCAGTGGCGCGTTCTGCAGAAGATATCCGCGCTGCGCTCTCCAGCCGCTGGGGGGAGGTGTTTAAGGCCAAGGTAGTGGACCCTGTCAAGTTCCGTGCTTACGTGGACCGCCTCGGTTGCCCCAGGGCTGGCCCCGGCCTCGATGGTCTCCCCGTGCCGTCGCGTGCGGGCCTCGAGAAGGCCTTGCAGCGCGCTCGTATCTCTGCTCCAGGGCCTGATGGGTTCACTTACCGCGCGTGGGCTGCGATCCCCGAGCAGCTGGATGTCTTGCATGATCTTGCCCTTCACCTTTTTTCGTGGAGACTATGTGCCACACGATCTAAATGATTATGTTTTCGCCTTCCTGCCGAAGGGGTCGTTGCCAGAAGATCACTTCGACTGTGTCAGGCAAGCTAGCAAGGTGCGCCCTCTGTCGCTGCGCAACACTGATACCAAAATCATCGCCAGTGTCTCGAACTTTGTGCTGCGCCAAGCGGTCGCCAAAAAAGTGCACCCCAATCAGAGAGGCTTTGTGATTGGAAGGAATTTCGCTCGCAACATCATCTTTATGGACGCCTCCGCCAGAGCTCTCAGCGTGTCAGAGAATGCTGCACAGCTATGGCCTTGCTTTGTGTCTTTTGATATTGCTGCCGCGATCCCCTCCGTGGGGCACCAGTGGTTGTTCGAGATTCTCCACCGTCACGGAGCCCCCCAAGGGTTTCTCAACCTTCTCCACTCGCTCTACTTCTGCCCTAGGGGCTTCGGACGGTTCGGAGGTGAATTGCACTTTCTCTTCCATCTCTGCAGTGGCGTCCTCCAGGGATGCCCTCTCTCGGGGTCTGTATGGGCGCTCATTTTCGATCCCGTGATTCGTTTGCTCTCCCAGGCTGTCGAACACCCCGCTGAGCAGAGTCAGATCCCAGGCCAGGTAGGTGGTTGTGCTGATGATGTAGGCACAGTGCTCCCACAATTGTGCACTTTGAAAGCCATGATGCCTCACTTTAATGATGTTGCTGAGCACGCGTTCTTGCGTCTCCAGCCTGCCAGATGCTGCATCGTGCCGTTGTGGGCCCCGTGCGCTCATGAGCTCGCACATAGCATCCGAAGCTGGCTCGTCCGTGAATTGCCTGAGTGCCAGGAGTTCGATATCCAGGGAACGACGGCGTACCTGGGGGTTCAGTTTGGGCCGGAGGGGGATCTCGGACTCCAGTGGCATCAAGCAACACAGAAATGGTGGCACCGCACTATTGAACTGCCATCCTCTCGTGCTGCTGCTGCGCTTTCGATCTTCCAATACAACATGTATGCGGTCAGCACTCTCGGCTATCTCGCTCAATTATTTCCCATGTCTCCCAGTGCCATCGCTCGCGAGGGTCTTGCCCTGCATGAGTTGCTCCGTCTTCCTCCTAACTCCTTCTCCCTCGCCGACTTGCTTTCTGCATCATGGATTGGGTCGTCGCCCCGATCGCTCATCGCCCTGGGCATTGCGTCTGCCTGGAGAATGGCATCGTTCACGGTCTCAGACTGGCGGGACGCCTACGAGGCGCTCCAGCAGGCCGCCGACGCCGCCTGCGGCACCCCAGCTCTCTCTGCCCAGCGTTGGGCGTCTGGGGCATGGTGCGCCCCGTGCTGGAGGCGGGCGGAATCCATCGTCCAGTTCTTTCACTCCCTCCTCTCCTCTTCCCCGTCTGTCGTCGTCAGGCGTCGTGACTCCTCGCTTCGCTCCGCTCACCCCCTTTCTCTAAGAGCGTGGGAGACGGCTAAAGCGGAGGGTCGAGCTGAGACGAGAGCGGCTGAGGCTAACCAGCGCAAACCGAAAATCCAGCGTGTTGTCGGTTCGGCTGTGTCGCGTGCCTTGTACCCTGAGCGGTTCCACCTTACGCTCAGCCGCCGTCTGAGAGCCTGGGATATCCCACCCCCGCCCGATCTCGAAGCTCGTTGGTCCTTGCTGCGTGCCGAGCTTGCCTCAGTCCGCCCCTCGTGGAGATGGGCTGCGTGGAAATCTTTGGCTGGAGGATGGACCACCTCGTGTCGGATGCACGTCTCGCGGCATTCTCGGGGCTGCATTTTTGGATGCGGAGGCTCCGACAGCATCAGCCACTACTTCCGCTGCTTTCGAATGAGGCACCACGTCGCCATGAGCTGGGTGCGGCTCGTCTTTCCTGTGGAGCCCGTGCTTTGGCTTGGCCTCGGGAGCCCCTCGGAGTATGGCACGGAAGACTGTGAGCTGAGTCGAGCCCAGACGCTTGAGGCAACGGCTTTAGCGTTTCATATCTACCACAAAGCCAAAGATACCGTGCCTCCTGGGGCACACCTCACCTATACAGAAGCCGAGCGGATTGCTGGTGCTGCGCGTTTGGCGCTTCGCGTCTAGTGCGGTCATCGGGAGCCCGCCTTCAGGGTACGTCCACTCCTCCTCCTCCTCCTCCTCCTCCCCCTCCAGCCTATGGCAGTGGTGGTCGAAGGTGGGCCCATCAAGCCTGGCCTACAGTGGAATCCCATTCCAAGAAACACCCCGCTTGCCTCCATGGTGCCCTGGGTTTCCTGGGTTTCGATGGTTTTGCGATGGGAAGCGTCAAAACACAATGGACGTCCTGGGGTCCCAGGGTTGACTTTCTTGCGGAAGTTTTCTTGTGGTCGAGCCCGTGTTGTAATTCCGCCCACGCCAGAACGCTGAGGCTCCAGCAGGCGCAGCCGTAACGGCCTTCTTGCCGAAGGATCGTGCGGCAGCCGAGTGCCCAGGAAACACGCTCTTCCCAGGGGCCTGGAGATGTTGCGCCCCTGCGCTGCCGAACTGGTGCCGAAGAGGTCCTCGCAGAGGTCGGCGATGGGAGGTGGCGACCACGCCACGGCCCGCGCCGTACCAGAGGCGGCACGATCCGCGCAATAGCAAGGCGTGAGAGGGATGAAACGTGCAACGTCCAAACTCGACGGATGGCCGGGAGGGCGAGCAGGAGGAGGAAGAAGGAGGCGGACGAGCGCCAGCAGCGGAATTTAGCAGCAGCATGGCGAGCGGGAGGAGCGGGCCGACGAGAACATCTATCGTCATTCACGCCTTGGGGTTTGCGGGAGTTCGGGCGGCGGGGCCAGGATTTCCCCCTGAAGGGTGGAGAGGGTTTTTCAAGCAGCGGCGAAGCGTCCTGGCGTGTCTCTAGGCCTACAAGACAATGTTCCAAGAACTTGTTTGTGGTTTCCACGAAATGTTCTTAGAGCATTTCTGGTTGGAACTGTATTGTTTGAACACATCGGGAATTTGTTCTAAGAGCATTGCTTTTGTTCTTAGAACATGTCTGCGTTCTAAGAACACTTCGTGGTAGGCCTGTCGAAATGCTGGGACGGTCGGTCCCTGCTCAAGTTTTGCTCAGGGCTCGACCAAAACGGTGTTGTAGCGATCTCGTGGACCGTTCTCGTTTTGACGTGGTGTTGCAGCAGAGGCGGGAGGCATCCAGAGCGAGGGACACACGAGGCCAGCACGACAACGGGAAGCGCTGCTCAGGTCGCGAGGCCTGGTTTTGCTTGTCCAGGGTCCCCACCCACCCCGCGGAACCCTGCCCCCACGCTGGTCAAACCATCTGGGGTGGCCCCAGGCCGCCACGGCGGGGGCGCCAAGGGCAGCCGCGCTCCGCGCGCCGCGGACCCTTTGGGCCGCTGAGGCCTGCTTGCCCCAAGGGGCGCGGCACGGGGGCGCGACGAGACGATGGCGGCGCGTCGCGCGCAACGTCGCGAGGCAGGACGAGCTAGCACAGTGGGGGCCTATGCCAAGAAACACTCTGCTTGCCTCCACGGTGCCCTGGGCTTCCTGGGTTTTGACGGCCCTCCCTTGGAGAGCGTGGCGTTCCCACACCAACGATCAATGGGCGTCCTGGGGTCTCAGGGTTGGGTTTCGTTGGGAAGGCCTCTTGTGGACTGGCCTCCACTGTAGCCCCGAACCCCTCTGATAAAGCTCCTTTGCCCTCCCCTGCAGGGAGGGTCCCCATCCCTCGCCCCATCTGCCATGAGCGCGCTGCTGCCGGGCTCGCCTCTCCCCCCGCCAATGAAGGAGGAGCGGGGGAGGGAGGCGGTGGAGGAGGAGGAGGAGGAGGACGACGAGGAGGAGGAGGAGGAGAAGAGGAAGGATGAGGCGGAGGATGAAGAGGAGGAGGAGGAGGAAGAGGAGGAGGAGGAGGAGGAGCAGCAGCAATAGCAGCAGGAGGAGGAGGAGGCGGAAAAGGGCGGAAAAAAGGCGAGGGGGAGGACGAGGAGGAGGAGAAGGAGGAGGCGGAGGATGGGGAGGCGGAGGAGGAGGAGGAGGAGGAGGAGGAGGAGGAGGAGGAGGAGGAGGAGGAGGAGGAGAAAGTGAAGGAGGAGAAGCAGCAGCAGCAGCAGCAGGAGGAGGAGGAGGAGGAGGAGGAGGAGGAGGAGGAGGCGGCGGAAGAGGGCGGAGGAAGGGGCAGGGGGAGGACGAGGAGTGGGAGGCTGCCAGAGGCTCTCTTTCCTGGCGCTCTGGGCGTAAAAAGAGACGAGAGGCGGCACGCCGCGCGGCCCAGCGACGCAGACGATGCACGCACACGCAGCAGGCGGCGGGCGCTGCCCGCCCGCTCCGGCCGCCTGCTCGGCGCGCGGCCCGCGCCCGCCAGGCCCGGCGAGGCCCCCCGGCCCGGCGCAGCCCGCGGCCTCGAGCCCGTCGCGCGAGCGCCTGGCAGAGGACGGCGGCCCGCCCGCGGGGGGGGCAAGGAATCGGGCCGGACGAAAGGGGGGGGATTGGGGAAGGGGGGGATTGGGAAAGGGGGGACTGCAGGGGATTGGGACAGGGGGGAAAAATCAGCTGCGTGAGCTGATTCTCAAACCCCCCCTTTGCTATCCCCCTCTTTCGCCCGACCCGAAGGAAGCAAGCAGGCCAGATGCGGCCGGGGGGACTCTCGGAGAGCCGCTCGAGCCCCCTGCCCAGGTCCCTCCGACGTCGCGAGAGAGCCTCGCGACGGAGGTTTGGGACCACTTTCCGGCCTCTGTGGAGGCCCGCGCCGGGCCTCGGGAGCGTCAACAAAACGACTCGGGATGGAATTACGGTCCCATTACCAGCCTGGAACATATCCCTATCCTTATGCTGGGCACCTCCTCATCACGATGCCAATCTTAGGGATTCCCTTATTTCCCAACCATCCTGTGGTGTTGGGTCCTCGTTTTGAAGAGACAGCGCCCCGCGTTCACTCCTCCTCCTCCCACTGCCCCCTCCCTCCTGCCATCATCATCATCATCATCATCACCATCATCATCGTCATCATCATCATCATTATCATCATCATCATTATCATCATCATCATTATCATCATCATTCCTCTCTTCTCCTCTCCTCTCCTCTTCTCCTCTCCTCTTCACCCACCCAGTACACTGTTTCGTGGCTCCATAGGGAGCTCCACCGAAGGCCCCAGTGCCCGCGCCCGCATGCGTCACCCACACCCATTTCGGCACACCCCTCACACGTTTCGTGGCTCCATAGGGAGCTCCACCGAAGGCCCCAGTGCCCGCGCCCGCATGCGTCACCCACACCCATTTCGGCACACCCCTCACACGTTTCGTGGCTCCATAGGGAGCTCCACCGAAGGCCCCAGTGCCCGCGCCCGCATGCGTCACCCACACCCATTTCGGCACACCCCTCACACGTTTCGTGGCTCCATAGGGAGCTCCACCGAAGGCCCCAGTGCCCGCGGCCGCATGCGTCACCCACACCCATTTCGGCACACCCCTCACACGTTTCGTGGCTCCATAGGGAGCTCCACCGAAGGCCCCAGTGCCCGCGCCCGCATGCGTCACCCACACCCATTTCGGCACACCCCTCACACGTTTCGTGGCTCCATAGGGAGCTCCACCGAAGGCCCCAGTGCCCGCGCCCGCATGCGTCACCCACACCCATTTCGGCACACCCCTCACACGTTTCGTGGCTCCATAGGGAGCTCCACCGAAGGCCCCAGTGCCCGCGCCCGCATGCGTCACCCACACCCATTTCGGCACACCCCTCACACGTTTCGTGGCTCCATAGGGAGCTCCACCGAAGGCCCCAGTGCCCGCGCCCGCATGCGTCACCCACACCCATTTCGGCACACCCCTCACACGTTTCGTGGCTCCATAGGGAGCTCCACCGAAGGCCCCAGTGCCCGCGGCCGCATGCGTCACCCACACCCATTTCGGCACACCCCTCACACGTTTCGTGGCTCCATAGGGAGCTCCACCGAAGGCCCCAGTGCCCGCGCCCGCATGCGTCACCCACACCCATTTCGGCACACCCCTCACACGTTTCGTGGCTCCATAGGGAGCTCCACCGAAGGCCCCAGTGCCCGCGCCCGCATGCGTCACCCACACCCATTTCGGCACACCCCTCACACGTTTCGTGGCCCCATAGGGAGCTCCACCGAAGGCCCCAGTGCCCGCGCCCGCATGCGTCACCCACACCCATTTCGGCACACCCCTCACACGTTTCGTGGCCCCATAGGGAGCTCCACCGAAGGCCCCAGTGGCGGCGCTCACATGCGCATGCGTCCCGCACACCCATTTCGGCACATCCCTGACAGGTTTCGTGGCCCCATCATCCACCGGAGGCCCCAGTGGCGGCGCTCACATGCGTCACCCACACCCACCCAATTCGGCACACCCCTCACACGTTTCGTGGCCCCATAGGGAGCTCCACCGAAGGCCCCAGCGGCCGCGCTCACATGCGTCCCCGCCACCCATCCCGGCACGCCCCTCACAACAACAGGTTTCGTGGCCCCATGGGGAGCTCCACCGAAGGCCCCAGTGCTGCCGCCCGCATGCGTCACCACCCGCACCCAATTCGGCACACCCCTCACACGTTTCGTGGCCCCATAGAGAGCTGCACCGAAGGCCCCAGTGGCGGCGCTCACATGCGTCCCCGCCACACATCCCAGTACACCCCTCACGCGCTTCGTGGCCCCATAGGGAGCTCCACCGAAGGCCCCAGTAGCGGCGCTTACATGCGTCTCCGCCACCCATCCCGCCCCCCCCCCCGCAGCAGCATCATGTTTCGGGGACCCATAGGGAGCTCCACTGGAGGCCCCAGTGGCGGCCCGCACATGCGTTTCCGCCACCCATGTCGGCACGCCCCGCGCGTGTTTCATGTCCCCATAGGGAGCTTCGCCGAATGCCCCAGTGGCACCCATCTCGGCACACCCCTCACACGTTCCGTAATCTTATGGGGAGTTCCATTGAAGATGAAACCCGCAACTGCGGTACTGACAACTGCATATGGTTGGGTTCTTCGCCAGGCTAATTTTTGAGGGCGAATCCCTAAGCTTGTCATCGCCTTTTGGCGTGCCAGTCTTAGGGATAGCGATACGTTCGAGGCTGGTCATCCCAGGGAAGGTCTCCAGACTCCGGGGGGCCGACGTGTCGTGAGTTTCTCACGACGTCGGGGGTCCCGGGTTACCCATCGGTCGTTGAAAGTAGGTACTTTGGGATTCCCAGATTCCAATCTACTTTGAGCGCCTTCCTACTTCAAGAGTCGAGTGGTTTGCCCTCTTCCCTCCTCTTCAGGAGGCGGGCGGAAACCCAATATATTTCCAACGCCTTCCTGCTTCATGTTTCTACCTGCTTCTTCCGACCGATGGGTAATTGGGACGGAAGTGAGGACGGTGTGAAACAGCAATTGCAACACCCGGTCGCATCAGACAGAGTGTTCGGGCCTCGGATGTTTTTTTCGAACGGTTGCAGCCCATGTTGGATGCTGAGCCACATGTCGACCAAGTTGGTTTCCGGCAGCGCCGCGGGAGGGGCCCGCAGGAAAAGCACGGTCAGCCTCGGCTCCGCCCTGGAGATTCCGTCGGGCGCGTCGTCCCTCTACACGAGGAATATCCAAACATAGTCTAGACATGGTCTTGGGACGATCTTTTGACTATGTTTGATCATTTGGGGGTATGTTTAACCTATTTTTTATGTTTCGTTCAAAATCCGCCTGTAAGGAGACATGCCCGACCTGACCCTCAGAGATCTTGCCGTTGCCGTTTGTCATGGCGCCGACTTCGCACAGCGGATTGCGTTCGGAAAACGACAGGATGGGCCCGGAGTGTCCTGGAGGTTCGTTCCGGATTTCGAGTCGAATTCCGTGACGATTTTTCCCCAATCAGTGCTTGCATTGAAGGGGTCTGGGCGGATGTTGAAGGAGTTGGCGAACGTTCCCCTCCGATTTTGGTGGCAGGCTGGGTTCCCGGGTTCCCGGCTCTGGGTTCCCGGGTTCCCGGTTCTGAGTTCCGCGCCGATTTCGGAGGGCGGCGAGGTTCCCGGGTTCCCGGGTTCCTGGTCGATCTTCTTATCGATCGGTCTCACCATCGATCTCATTACCGACTTCTCGATCGATCTCACCATCGATCTCACATTCAATCTCACTATCAATATCACAAGCGATCTCACTAGAGATCGCATGAGCGATCTCGCGATCGATGTCACTATCTCACAATCGAGCTCATTGAGTCGATTTTACTCTCGGTCTCACGATCGACCTTACAATCGTCCTCACTATCGATTACACTACCGATCCCACCATCGATCTCAAGATCCATAATATCAATGTTCAATTGATCCACTGATTTGGGTTTTCTCAGGTGTAATTTTTTGCCCGGAATTGACAGTAAAACAAATCCACGCGAAATCCACTTCGCTTTTCGCTCGCCGTTTTCGGGGCTCTGCATTGGCAGAAATCCACACAACAATCCGCTGCAGCACGTCTGCAAGGTCGGTGCAGTGACACTTGTTCACGGCCGGCGTTTTCGCGTTTCTGTCGGGCCCCGGGACTTTCGCAGAGCGATCGGGCCCGAAAAGCGGCGCAGAGAAAGGTGGGCCCCCAGGGTGCCAGGGCGTGATTTTGCTCGCGGCTGCAGCTGTGCCAGGGCTCGGGTCATCCGCGGGGGCGCGAAGGCGATCGCGCGTCGCGTGCCGTGATCTCGGCCAGGACGGCTGCGGTGTTCCGCCTCCTTCTCCTCCTCCTCCTCCTCCTCCTCCTCCTCATCATCATCATCATCATCATCATCAACATCATCATCAACAACATCAACATCAACATCATCATCATCATCAGCATCATCATCCCCCTCCTTCTCCTCCTCACTCTCTCCCTCCTCCTCCGTCTCATCCTCCTCATCCTCCTCCTCTTCACCCTCCTCGTGCTCCTCCTCATCATCATCGTCCTCCTCCTCCTCCTCACCCTCTCCCTCCTCCTCCTCCACCTCCTCCTCCTCCCCCTCCTCCCTTCCTCCTCCTCCTCCTCCTCCTTCTCCTCCTCCTCCTCCTTTTCCTCCTCCTCGCCCTCCTCCTCCTCTTCCTCCTGCTCCTCCTCCCCCTCCTCCTCCTCGAGGGGGAAGGGTCGCGAGGGGGGGGGGGGGGGGGAAGGGGTGCGAAGAGGAGGCGCTGCAGGCGCAGCGCCGCGGGCCGCCCCTCAGGCGCGAGGTCGGGGGGGCCCCGGCCGCGGGAGTCGGCGGCGCCCCGTCGCCGCTTGGGCGGGCCTCTCGGCGGGCAGAGGCCGGGCTCGAGGTCGGGCGCGCCGCTGCGCAGGAGGATTTTTCTCCAACCCAGAGATCCAACGCACTAACTGGCTGGATTGGCTCCTTGAGGGCATGGGGCGCCCGAGGCGCCGGGCGACGAGGACCCTCTCCTGCGACCTGCCCCGCGAAGCCGAGACTGGAGTGCCTAAACATTCAAACGTCTGCGCGCCCAGAGATCGAACGTATTGAACAAATCACGACGGGGGGTTCTCGCTATTTTCGGCCTCCATGGGGCCCTCGCCGGGCCCCGGGACATTCCAAAAACGGCTCAGGGTGAAGAGCCGGTTCTGGGGAAGGGGTCGAGACTTCCGGGGACCCCACATTGAAAAAATCACGACATCGGATCTCTGGGAATCAGCGCTTGCACTGCAGGGGTCCTGGCGGAAGTTGAGAGAGTTGGCGAACATTTCCCACCGATGTTGGTAGCCGGCTGGGTTCCCGGGTTCCCGGTTCCGGGGTTCCTGGGCTCCCGGTTTGTTGATTCCGGGCCGATTTCTGGGTTCCGGGTTCCCGGCTACCCGAGTTCCCCGTCGATCTCCCTATCGATCTCTTTATCGACCCAATTTCAAATCATCCTCTGATTGGGTTTTTTTTCTCCGGTATAGTTATTGGAAGAACATCATAAACAACAACTCCATCAAGAAAACCGCCATCGATAAATTCATCGAACAGTATGATAAAACATGTTTTTGGCGCTTCGTGCGGGTTCCTTGGCTTCGCGCTGGGCCCCCCCCGGCGGCGTCTCCGGCGCCGCCAGGGAGGGCGGTCCAGGCCAGATCCAAGAAATCCGCGCGGAGCGTCAAGAGCTTATGTTTATGGCGTTTTTCTGTTTTTCCTGATTGAGAGTCGTCAAATAATGGTGTGGGGCACATTTTTCTTTCTTTATAGTTTTGACAGATCTGAGCATTCTTCGACTATTTTTCACTTGTCTTCCAAAGCCCGCCTGTAGGAGGGCATGCCCGACCTGAGGTCAGGCGTCGCGGACGTCCGCGGGGTTGGCAGGCTTCCGCCGGTGCTGGGCCCGGCCACCCGCACTCGGAGGAGCCCGATGTGTGCACCACGTCGTCTGGTCTGCCCAGGATTCAATCGTGCATGACCCTCCCCAGGAGGAACATTCGAGAATAGTCACAAAAATAGTCTGGGGACGACTTTTCAACTATTGTTGATTCTTTTGGGGCATTTCCTGGCTATTTTTCATTTTTCGTCAAAAATTCGACTGTAGGAGGATATGCCCGACCTGAGCACAGGGACCAAGGATCTCGGCGGAGGTCTTCTATTCTAGGCCTCCTAGATGGGATCAAAGCAGATGGGGTCCGAGGATCGCGCCGCAGCGCCGCAGCGCCGATGCATCGGCGATGCGGCTCGATGTGCTGCAGCCCGATTTACTTCGCGTCGACGTCGCCGATGCATCGCCCACGTCGACTCGTCGCCACGGTTATGCTGCCCCCAACAGTAATTTCGAGCACCCGGAGAAGTATCGGAACAGTGTCGAACGAGTACGTATCGCCTTCCCAGGGCCCGACACGTGGAAACCCTGGAGTTTCGGTATTTTCTTGGTGCTCGAAATTCTTTCTTGCGGTCAAGGCTAAAGTTAAGGATGTTCCAACCTACTTTAGCCTTGACGACCAGAAATAATCCCGAGCACCAGAAAAGTACCCAAAAACTCAAGGGTTTTCACGCGTCGGACCCTGGGAGACACTCTTTCGACACTTTTCCGGGTGCTCGAGATTATTTCTGGGATGCGGTCCTTGGGTAGGATGGGGGCAACATGAGGCTAAAGCAGGTCGCAACATCATAGCACCACCGCTTGGGAACACGGGTCAGCACAGACCGTTGGAGGGGTCAGGGCGGACCGACTTCGAGTGGCTGTCGGGCTCGGCGGGAGGTCCGCCGTTGTCTCCGCGGGCCCTCCTCCGAACCTGCAGGGCTTCTCCGAAGGGCCTATCGGCGACCCGTCGTCCTCCTCCACCTCCTGCTCAACCTCCTTCCCCCTCCTCCTCCTCCTCCTCCTCCTCCTCCTCCTCCTCCACCTCCTCTTCCTCCTTTTTCTTCCTCCTCTTCCCTCCTCCTTCCTCCTCCTCCTCCTCCTTCCCCTTCCCTCTCCTCTTCCTCCTCCTCCTCCTCATTTCTCCTCCTCCTCCTCCTCTCCTCCCCTCCTTCCTCCTCATCCTCCTCCTCCTTCCCCATACTCCCTCTCCTCCTCTCCTCCTCCTCCTCCTCCTCCTTTCTCTCCCCTCCTCTCCCTCTCTCTCCTTCCCCTTCCCCCTCCTCTTCCTCCTCCTCCTCCTCCTCCTCCTTCTCCTCCCCCATCCCCCTCCTCCTCCTCCTTCTCGGGTCGCCAACGGCCCCGGGCGAAACCGTGCACTCCGAATCAAGTGAGCCAGTCGTCTCGAGAACCTGTTATGGCCCTGCAGCGTTCCCAGCGGCCCCAAATCAAAGCAGAGTTCCAAGGACCGCACCGCGTCGCCGATGCATCGGCGATGCTGCTCGATGTGGAACTTGACTTGCTCCTCGTCGACGTCGTCGATGCGCCTCAGCGACGCATCGGCGATGCATCGGCCATGCGGTGCGATCCTCTGACCCCATCTTGTTGGACGCCTTTTGTCAAGATTTTTGTTTCAAGGGCGTAACAAAAAACGCCTACACCTTGGCTCGCGAGGCGCTGTGCGCTCAGAACCTCCTGCGGGCCGACAGGGTGAAACGTGCGCATCGTGCCTGCCGCGCGGCGTCCTGGCGGCTCTCTGGCCCGTGGCAGCTCCCAGGAGGAGAGGTTCACTGACCGCGCACGATGTGGAGCCGGCGTGTGATAGAGCCGGCGCAAGATTCGGAGCCGACGTGTGGTAGACATATGTTTGAATCGTCGCCCCTCCGTTGAAGAAGCATCTATAAATCATCAAAGAAACTGCTTATTTCATCGTCCCCCCTATTTCTTAGTAATCGTCGTCCTGCGTCGGCCCAGGGCAGGGGCTTTTTTTCCTTCCTCCATGTCGGGAGGCGTCCGCCAGCACGCGCCCGAGAGAGCGGCCCAGCACAGCCCCGCGCAGGACCCGCGCTCCCCGCGCGCCAGGCCGCCCCTGGAAGCGCAGCGGGACACCTTCGCGGCCGGGGTGGGTGGGCGGGAGCGGCCGGCCTTGCACCCCGCGACCTCGAGGCGGACGGGGGAGGAGGAGGAGGAGGAAGAGGAGGAGGAGGAGGAGGAGGAGGAGGAGGAGGAGACAAGGAGGAGGAGGAGGAGGAGGAGGAGGAGGAGGAGGAGGATGAGGAGCCGAGGAGGAGCCGAGGAGGAGCCGAGGAGGAGCCGAGGAGGAAATGGAGGAGGAAGAGGAAGAGGAGGGGAAGGAGGCAAGGAGGAAAGGAGGACGAAAAGGTGAGGAGGAGGAGTTGAGGAGTGGAGGTTGAAAGTCCGCCCAGCGTAAAAGGAGGAGGATCGAGAAGAGGAGAAGGACGTGGAGGAGGTGGAGGAGACTGAGCACTGTCGAAGAATTCAAATCAGCCTGAGCATGAACTTTCGGTGGTCCGCGCGGATTTCTTGGATCTGCGCTGGACCCTTGGTCGCGCCTATGGCGCCTCCCCTGTCGCGCTCCGCGCGCCAGGGTGGGGTACTCGTCCTCTTCATGCTATTCGAAGCCAGTTACCCTTGCAACACTAACTACATGTAAGCTGCTGCTAAGCAGCCACACACATCAGTGCTAGCCAGCCAGTGGCATCATCTGTTCAGCATGCAACACGACTCACAACCGGCCCATGACCTTGCATCGAACTGACATTTCGCAACATGGAATATACATCAGAGTGAACTAGAAGGTGCAGCATTCAACCATTGGCAATCATTGACAGCCGACGCACGTCAGATCACAGCAATTACAGCCGCATTGCAGACGCGGAAGTTAGTCGCAAGAGTTGTGCAAGCAAGTTTGTGTTGAGGTTACGTTTCCATGAGGCCTGCTGAAAGTAGCAGTTGAGTTGTAGTTGTGGCTTCGAGAATGCTAAACGTTCCTGACATGGGGCAGGTACTCGCACATATGCTCATCTCCATGCCGTACGTGCCAAAATGCGAAGCGCACATTGTGATATTATCGAACATATTCTCGGCTCGAGCTGCTGCGCGCAGCATTCTGATGTTTGGCCGCAGCCAGCGCAGTCGCTAGGGGTTCTTCCCCGTGATGCTGGCGGCACCCATTCGTACCAAGCTGTGCGAAGAGGGTGCGTTGCCAAGCAATGGGCTTGCATGGGCCACCTGTTCGATGCAGGGCTGGCGCATGCACCAGGAGGATAGCCACCTCGTCACGCCACAGGTGTCGGCCTCGGGACCTTGGCGTGAGGCGTCTCTCTTCGGAGTGTTCGATGGGCACGGGGGTCCTGAGGTCGCACGGTTTGTGGCTGCACATTTGCCTGCCGAACTTGCATCTTCGACGGACGACAATCAGGGCCTCCAGCCGAAAGCGATCACTGCGAGTCTATCTGCTGCCTTCTTGCACTTGGACAAGGCCCTACGAACCGAGGCTGCACGTGAGGAGCTGAGGAGACTCGGAGGGGCATTCCGGGCCTCTGGTGCAGAGTGTGTGGGCACGACCGCGGTAGTTTGTTGTCTCCACGGGCGAGACATTGCTGTTGCTTGGGCGGGTGACAGCCGTGCAGTCCTCGCACGCGGGAAGCGTGCGGTGGCCCTCACGGCAGATCACAAGCCAGAGAACCCAAAGGAACGACAGCGCATCCTCTCCGCTGGGGGCCGTGTGCTCCTCGTTGAAGGCGAGACCGTGCACCGCGTCGCGTTCGATGGAGCCCCGATGGCCTTGAACATGTCCAGGTCGATTGGAGATCTGGCGTTCAAGGCCCGTCCGTGGAAATCCGCAGAACAACAGATGGTCACCGCGGCTCCAGACGTGCGCAGAGTGCGATTGAAGAATTCAGACCGGTTCATCTTGCTCGCATGCGATGGTATTTGGGATATGCTCTCCAACCAGGATGCGGTCGATTTTGTGCATCAGCACTTGCCCTCTCCAGGCATGCCCCTGGCACCGGTTCTAGAAAAATTGCTGGACCGTTGTTTGTCGCGTAACCCTGTTCAGACAGGCGGTCTTGGTTGCGACAACATGACCGCGGTGCTGATTCGTTTCGGAACAACAGATGCCAAGATCTCTTGCGGATGTTCTCCGCCAGTTGCAGCTGGTCGGAGTATGGGCCAGAAGGCTAAAGAGAAGAAAGCCAAGAAGGCCAAGAAGGCCAACACAAAGAAGGCCAAGAAGGCCATGAAGGTCAAGAAGGCCAAGAGGAAGCGGGAACACTCATCCTCGTCCCCGAGTTCTTCGTCATCGGTGCCTGATTGACGTTGATGATTGCCGAGCCTCGTCGATCGCTATGATGTTAGGTGTGTGCTTTGCTCTCATCGTGTTATTCTGACTTGTGCGGGGGATCAGGTACATGCGAATTCCAGCGCCAGGAACACAAATGATAGTATCATCAATTCTTCACGCTTCGCGTAGCCCCACCAGCTTAGACTCCCTGGGTTTGCCGTTTGCACGTTTCTGGGCTGTCCTTGCAGACTCCCTGGGATTGCACGCCCGCTGGCCTCTCAGACACCCTGGGTTGCCGCCGTTCGCCGCCTGATCCGCGGCTCCGCGCGCGCCCGCAATTTAGTCGCGGCCGCAGCCCGACCGTGACCGCTCGCCGTCGGCGCCTCCGCCTGCGGCTGTATAAAGAAAAGTAGCCCCACCAGTTCATTCAGAAAAGTTGCCTATGAGTGTGGACGGAAACGAGCGGAAGCGATCCTGAAGCGATGCCCAGGCGAGTTGTTTTCTTCAGGAAAGTGTAGAAGCGTGCAGCACTGAACTATTTGCCCAGAGAGGTACGAGGAGGAGAAGGAGGAAGAGAAGGAGGACGAGGACGAAGAGAATAAGGAACAACAGGAGGAGCACACGACCGAGGAGGAGGAGGAGGAGGAGGGCGAGGAGAAGGAATAGGACGACGAGGACGAGGACAAGGACTGCGGCAGCCATCTTCGGATCTTCTTGAGGCCTTTCGGCGTCGCTTGAGGCCGTCTCGGAGTCCTCTTGGGGCACTCTGTGGGGGGCCTTGAGGCCCTCTTCTGGGTCTTTTGGAGGGTCTTGGGGCCCTCTTGGGAGCCCTGGGGATTCTCTTGGGCCACATTGAAGATCATCGATTGCCGGAGGGGGGGTCCTTTGAGTTCCTCCCCCCTCTGGGGCCCTGAAAATCGCCGCTTGGTACCCTCTTGGGGCCGTCTTCGGGGCCTCTTGGGCGCTCTTGGGACTGTCTTGGGGGCCTCTTGGGCCCCTCTTGGGCCTCTCTTGCGCCATCTCGGGGGCATCGTGAAGCCTCCAAAGCAAATCGGAAGCGAAAAGGCGAGACGGCGAAAATCAGTCACTTTCCCAAAGTAGTTGCGCGATTGTGGCTTCATGGAGAGGTGCAGCTTCCCCGAGCTCAGAGTTGCGAGGATGTCTCAGGCGAAAGTGGCCAGACTTGCTCGGGTCATCAGCTTCGGGGAGCCCAGAATTGTGAGAACGTCTCAGTCGGCACAGGCCGGACCACCTCTCGAGCAGCCTGTCGGAGAGCGCAGACTTGCGGGGATGTCTCGGCCAGAAGTGGCGGACAACCTCGCGGGCGGCACCTTTTCGTTTCGACTTCGTTTCGCGGGTGGATTGAAGACAAAACGAAGGAAAACGAAAACAAAACGAAAACGAAACGAAAACGAATAACACCGTTTAGGTTCAGCTCTGGTGTGTGTATGTGTTTGTGTGTATGCGTGTGCGTGTGCGTGTGCGTGTGCGTGTGCGTGTGCGTGTGCGTGTGCGTGTGCGTGTGTGTGTGTGTGTGTGCGTGTGTGTGTGTGTGGTGGTGGGGGGTGCGTGTGTGTGTGTGTGTGTGTGTGCGCAGGGTTGACGAGGGCCTCGCCGTTCCCTCCCTTGGGGTTCTGGTCTTTCTCCGACGGTCCGCTGCACGCACCTCTGCCGGCGCTGCCCTGGTCGGCACCCCGCCTCCGCCGCCGCTGGGCCCCCCGGCCCCGCTGCCGCTGCCGGCCCCCCCGGCGGCGGTGACGGCCGCGCCACGCGCCCCAGGTCAAGCAGTGGTTTCCACGAAATGTTCTTAGAACATTTTCTGGCGGAGTCGGTCTTGTTTTATCACACCGGGTTTATGTTCTAAGAGCATTGCTTTTGTTATTCGCACAGTTTTGGGTTCCAAGGACATTTCGTGGTAGAGACCATGGGACCGCCAGGACGGTCGGTCCCTGCTCAACCGGGCACGCCGCCCCTCTGAGCGGCCCCGGCCGGTGTCCCCCTCCCCTCGGCTGGCGCCCCGCCATCTTCCCCCCTCCTCCTTGCAGGGGCTGCGGCCTGTCGTGGCACCCCCGGCCTCGGCACGCCCCCGGCAGAAGCCGACGGCAGCCCTTTCGCGGACATCCGATCCGATCCTCAGTGCGTTCAGCGCCTGCCCCGTGTCGCTTCCCTCGCCGGCGCGGTGGCTCTGCCCGGCCGCCGGCGCAAAAGGTGTGCGTAGGGTCCGCGGCCTCCACCCTCATCCGCGCAGTGGCGCAGAGTGGGCGCGCATCGCACTACGCATTCTGCGCGTAAAGATTCTGGCAACAACTTGGCACGAGCACTAGAAAGCCTGAGCACCAACAACACGGCCGTGGTGTAGGGTTCGACGTTGATGCTGAATGAGGTATATGGGAGTGCAGGGGAAGCCAGGCGACAAGAGGAAACCCAATAATAATTGAGAAGTCGCCGTGCGTATAAAACACGTGGGGCATTTCAAAAAGGGCTTTGCCTTCGAGGATAAAGAGAGTTGCCATCCTTTCCGCCGCGGAAAGCGGCGGAAGGGCGGCGGACGGTCGGCGGAAGTAAAACGAGGCCGCTTCCGCCGGCGGGAGCCGGCGGAAGGCTGGCAGAAGGCGGCGGAAGTAAACAGTCGACCTCCCAAGAGATGAGAACGTCTTTGGGTTCAGGGTTTCCGAAGTCGACCACATAGCTTGTATGCACACATGTGTATATATATATATAATATATATATATATTATGTATATATGTTCTCCCGCTCTCCCTCTCTCCTTCTCTTTCTATGTTTCCCTCTCTCTCTATATATGTACATATAGACATATACACATATATATATATATATATGTATACACATACGCAGATGCATCAAGGCTGCACGAGGCCCAGGGTCTGGCCCAGGGACCTTCGCGCGTACTGGGGGGACCGCCCCCCCCGCCCCCGACAGCCTCGAGGCTCCGAGGCGGCTCAAGAACAGGGGAAACAGAAACAGTGAAACAAGCATACGAACTCGGAGGTCCGCGCGGATTTGCCCGGAGGGGCGCGCTGGACTCCCCTCCCTGGCGCACGGCGCGCGCCAGGGGCGGCGCAGGAGGCGCCGCCGGGGGGCCATGGCCGACCCGAGAAGGCCGAGCGGGCCTCCGAGCGTTCATGCTTCTGTCCCTGCTTTCGGGGGCGGCAGAGAGGGGGGTGATGACTAGGGGGGGGGATATCACAGCGGGGGCCATGACACTTCCTCAGTGTTCACGGCACCTCTTCTTGTTTCATCACGTCCCTGGCCCCCACGTTGGGCCGCGCACATGCCGCCGATCATGATTTGCACCCCCCCCGCTTGGACACCCCCCTCCTTGGCCGCTCCCGGTGCTTGCTTCCCGGAGGAAGGCTCGAGAAGCGTTCGCGACAGCTTCCGGGCCGCGCCAGAAGCCCCCCAAAGCACGCCCCAGGGACGCGCTACAGGACGGCCCAAGGTGACTTCCGCGCGCTCCAGGGGCGCCCCCTGGAGGCCCAAGAGGTCCACAAGAGGCTCCTCCAGAGGGCCGAAAGAATCACGAGGCATGGACTTCCCAAGAGGTTCTTGGAGCTTTTTGAAGTTCTCGTTTTTTTCCCCGGCCGCCCAAACCGGCTCCCCTGGGAGCCCCAAGACTGGCCACGAGGGCCCAGGGGCGAGCTTGGAGCCATCAAGACGGCCAAAGGGAACCAGAACAGATTCCCTGGACGGCGCAGGAGGTTCAATATGCCCAAGACCGACCCAAGAGAGTTCCAATATGGCCTCTGATGACATCCAGGCTCCCCAGGGGCTCCCCTGGAGGCTCAAGAGGTAGGTCCACAAAAGGCCCCCTCCACAGCACCGAAATAATGGCAACGTATTGATTTCTTGTTTGCGTTTTTGAAGGATTTGAGCTTTTCCCTGCTTTTGCTTCCCAAGCGCCCAAGACGGCCGAAGGGGCTTCCAAGACCGCACTTGGGAGCTTCGAGAGGCTGCCGAGAGGGCTCCAAGATTGCCCACGAGGGCCCGGCCAAGGACGGGCCATGAGCCACCGCCAAAGACGAGCAAAAGGGGGCCCGCATCGAGCCCCTTGGGGGGACCACGGAGAAGGTACGCCCCAAGAGGTCCTCAAAAGCGCTCCGAAGAGCCGGAAGAATTGCAACTCCCAAATTTCTGGGGGTCGTTGAAAGTTGTGTTGCTTCCTCTTTCTGCCGGGATCCGAACCGCCCAGGACAGGCCAGCATGTTTCCAGGACCTCGCCTGGAGGCCCCGAGAGGCTGCCAAGAGAGGGCCACGCGACTGCCCACGCATGCACGTGGACGGTCCATATTAGGCACCCAGGACGGGCAAAGAGGGCCATCGCAGGTATCCCAAGGGGAGCCACAGAGGAGGAGCAAAGCTCCGAGAGACGGCTCAGGAGTGCCCTGGAGGAGGAGAAGGAGGAGGAGGAGGAAGAGGAGGAGGAGGAGGAGCAGGAGGAGGAGGAGGAGGAGGAGGAGGAGGAGGGGGAGGAAGGAGAGGAAGGAGGAGGAGGAGGCGGAGCACGAGGAGGAGGAATACCTCCCCAAGAGCGTTCCAGTTTTTTCCAGAGAGCCGAAAGAAGCCCAAGTCCCATAGCTTCCGCTCGTGACTGGAGATTGTTATGTTTCCCTGCTCTGTCGGGATCCAGACCGCCCAGGACAGCCCAAGGTGTTTCCAAGGCCTCGCCGGGAAGCCCCAAGAGACTGCCAAGAGGGCCACACGATTGCCTACGAAGGCACATGGACGGCCCAATGGGCACACAAGACGGCCAAAGATGCCCCTAGGGAAGGATCCCAAGGGGGGGGTGGGGCACCGAGGAGGAACGAAGCTCCGCAGAATACTCGAAGACAGCTTCTGGAGATCTCTGGAGGCCCCCAAGACGCGGCACGACCGCCCCAAGAGCGCTCCAAGGCTCCTCCAAAAAGCCGGCCAGAGCAAAACTCCGAATCGTCCTAATTACAGTTGCTTGTGCTGATGTTCTGGTTCTCTACGTTTTGGGTCCCCAGCTGTCCAAGACGGACCAGCAGACGTCCATATAAGCGCCACTGGAACCGCCGAGGCGCTGCCTTAAGAGGGCCCCGCGACAGCCCAAGAGGGCCAGGGACGGCCCAAGTGCCTCCCAAGACGACCAAAGAGAGGCCCAAGAGGGCCGCAAGGAGGCCACGCAGGAAGCACGCGGACTGACATTTCGAGCCTGTCGACTCCGAAAGACCCGAAGGACCTCCAACATATCCTCAGGAGGCACCCCACCGGTCTCGAGAGCGCTCCCTGAGGCACAGGAGGCCGCCCGAGGTAACTCCCAGGAGGGCACCAAGAGGCGAAGCTTGCAGA